CCCCAATTATAAGCATGCAATGCTGCCCAGTGAAATTTCAAAACTGTGGTGCTGCCATATGGCCTCCTCCATGACTGGCGTGTAATGTTTCATTTTGTTCTTGTCCTGGTTGATGAGATCTTGAAGTGCTCGTGCCTGCTTCTCCAATCCACTTTGAAGCGCTTTCAGCTGGTTGATCAACTGATCGGACATCTCCAGCGGCTTCAAGCGGAATGCCAGGTCCCTGCAACAGGTCACAACAACTTCAGCAAACATAAACGTGGGAGATGGACAAACAATACATGTATTTTCACGAGATAGGTGTGTGTGTATTTCCCTTTCCTTTTTTTTGTGATATGCATCTGAAAGCATATACCTATGGAATGTATGCATGATGCATGTTTGCATTTTTCACAAATGTAGATATGTGTGAATGTTTGCCAGCAAATATTCCGAAACTGTATGGAAAGAGTTTGGACGCTCCGTTTAAGTCCACATCAGTAACTTGAGAACTAAACACAACTTGCTTTTTATCAACTGCCCTCCGCAAACAGTTTAAACATGTTTAAACCCAGCCTGCAGGTGTTTGCATCTTTCAGCACTTTGGTGATCAGAGTCTTCGCTTTGCTCTGCGGTGTTTCTGCTTTGACTTCCTTTGCCGGAGCACTGTCTGAGTTCCCCTTGTTGGCTTTCCCATTCCTTCTTGCAGCCTTCCCTGTCCCCTGTGCTTGTCCGGTCTTGCCCACGGCCCCCATGAACGAGACTGCTTTGCTCATGCCTTCTTTCCCAGACATGTCACCCTTCAGAGCGCTTCCATCTAAGACTCCTCCGGCTTCGGTGAATGCCTTCACCATTTCGGCACTTACCTGTCCTTTGGCCTCCAAGCTTGTCACCCTCTTGAGCTCGTTGATGTTTTTCAGGTCGATGTCGATGAGGCAGAAGTAGAGGTTGTCCTCGGGCTCCTCTGGGTCAGGGATCAAAAGCCCCAAGTTGGTCTTTCGACCAACTATACGCTTTGCCTTCTCCTCCCCGTACTTCTCATTGAGCCACCTTTCTGAGCGAAATCCATACTTCACCTGGGAAGATCTGGACTCAGTCAGGCTTTGTTCGTGCTTGCATATGATGGAGTCCACATCGCCTCCGCACTTGACCCAGTCGACAAAAAGGCTTGCCCGCCCCTCCTCCGTTGTCAACCGGGATCCAAGCACAGTAGGAAACCTTTTGCCGTTTCGAATCCACCTCCTGTATCGCAGATACTCCGTGTGGTGCGTGCTGGAGTTGATCTTGTCCTCAGTGCTGCTGCTGCTGCTGCCTTTCGCTTCTTCAGAAGTCGGTGCCGCAGTCTTTGCCAAATTGGCTTCCACCACAGCCAGCTTTGATGCATCATGCCCTCCTGTCTCATTTTGGTCGCCCTTGTCTTTGGAACGCTTCGAAGTCACTTTCTCCTTTGACTTGCCATCGTCCTTGCCTCTGCCTCGTTTCTTCTCCTGGTCCTTCTGGTCTTCGATCTTCAGACAAGGCTCCTCTGTGGGCTTGGTCTTGCTTTCCTTCTTTTTCTTTGTCTTTTGTTTAGACTCATCTTCCGTAGTCTTAGCAGCTGAAGCCTTTTCTTTCTTCTCTTTCTTATCTTCTTTCTTGCTGCTTTTCTTTGTGTTCTTCTCTTCCTGTCCTGCCTTCTTCTTGTAATTCTTCTTCGGCTCATCCTGCTTGTTCACCTCGGGTGTCTTGGTGGCTGCAATCTTCTTTGTCACCTCAGGCTCTCCACAACTCTCATCGGAGCTGTCGCTGTCGCTCTCCTCAGCCTCAGACTGCGCTTTCTTCGCCATGGCACCTTTCTTTGCATCCTCAGCTTCTTCTTCTTCTTCAGTGTCGCTCCCATCTACAGTCTCTTCATCCGAACTGCCTTCATCTTCCTGCACTTGCTCTGCCTCTGAGTCCGAGCTATCTTCAGACTGTTCTTCTGAAACTTCACCTTCGCTTTCTGTTGCTTCATCCTCATCTCCACTTCCATCTTTGTCCTCACTGCTGCTGCTGCTGTTGCTGCTAGCGTCATCACATGTCGATTCTGAGTCACTGTGACCAGCTGCTTCTGCACTTGGCTTGGACATCTCCTTGATGATTCTCTCAGCCTCATCCTCTGACATGGCCTGACCTGTGGCCATATCTTTGTTTTTTTTGTCTCCTGGCTTGTTTTCAGCTTCGATTGGGATGCACTGATGTGGTTCTACAAAACTCAGCCTCCTCTTGGTCCTTCTCTTGGTCTTCGTCGTAGAGCTAGCATCATCCTGCGAGCCAGCAGACATGTGTTGGGGAGACACAAAACTTTTGAGATGCAATTCAGCTGATTGGATTGAAAACTTTAGATGTATTGAAAATGTTTTTGATGTGGATACTGTATACTGAACCGAATGGACAACATAAACAACCTGTTCCAAACAATGCCTGCCATGCATGAACCCCAGCGCATAGCCTTCTTCAGAATGGGCTTCGGGCTTGGAGTCTTCAAAGTAGGTTCCACTTTTTCTTCCTTCTTGGCTTTTCCTGTGTCCACTTTTTCTTCCTTCTTGGCTTTTCCTGTGTCCACTTTTTCTTTCTTCTTGGCTTTTCCTGTGTTCTTTTGCGTCTCTGCTTTTTTCTTTGCTTCCTTGAGCCTCCGAGCAGCCTGCTTCAGCTTCTTCGGATTTGGGGAAGCTTTCATGGCTTCACCTTCAGGAGTCTTGCCACGGCACCGGGTCAAGACAGGCATGTCTCAGACCTTTCTGCAGAGCCAGATGATCTAGATTATACATATAGATGTATGATGTATGTGATTTCTTGGCCAAACGCTCCTATATGGCACATGTCACCTCAAGCCATGTCTTTTTTTGTCACAATGTGGATTGGATGTTGCCAGCACCTGCCCTGTCAACCCCATTTTTGGTCCTGCCCTCGCAAAGTACACAGTTGCAGCGCCGAGTAAATTAAGAATTAATAGCCAGCCAAGCAACTCACATGCTGTTGTATATGGCTTTGAATCTGAATTTTGGGTCTGATCCTGGGACTTTCTCATCCTTTCTCGCTTTTTCGGGGAATTTCTTGGAAACTCCTGTTTTTTTTACAAAAAACATTGTTTTTTTTGAAAAAAAAAACCTGAAAAAACAAGGTGCCCAATAAACCAATAAATTTATCGCTTTTTATCGGCTTTTTATTGGTTTATCGGTTTTTGTGATTTTTTGTGATTTTTGTTTTTTTGTAAAAATTCCTGATTTTTTTTGCCCAAAACGAGAAATTCTTCCCAGAACCCTCCAAAATGCCTAAAAGCATGCAGCATGCAAGCCAAAAGCTTTGTAAATGCTGGCTCCTTTGGAGCTTCACTGAGAAAGTTCCTGCACAACTTGCCGTAGGTCTGCAAGCTTTGCAAATCCTGGGTCCTGCAGTGTGTGCACAAAACATATATATATATGCCTGCATGATATAACCTATAAACCGATATACCCATACCCGATAAACCGATAAACCGATAAACCGATAAACCGATAAACCCATACCCGATAAACCGATAAACCGATAACCCGATAAACCGATAAACCAAACCCGATAAACCGATAAACCAAACCCGATAAACCGATAAACCAAACCCGATAAACCGATAAAAACATACTCTAATAGACCACCCAACCTCAATCCAACATGTTTCAACCAAAACAATTTTGAGCTTAACAGGTGTCCTTGGCTTCCTTCTTTGGGGGCGATGCTTGTAATATGGACTGGGTCTTCTCTGCAGTCTCCTTTACCAGCTCATAGTGCTCCAAAAAGCATTCAGCCACCGCACATCCAAAGCGAACAGGATAGTGTTGAGATGCCTTCAGGTCACAATCGCCGCATATACGCTGGACTCCCGAGCCGTCAACATACCTCTCAGGGACAAAGAACATATGGATATGTTTCCATCATACCATTTAAAATTTAGGGGGAACTCGCGAAAGCTTTTGCACAGGATCAAGATGTGCCCTTTCCTTGCCTCCGAACCATACTGCTCGTCCATTCACGATCAGGAAGTGGAAGGTAAAGCTTTTGAAAGAATTGGTAGTTTGAATATAAAAACGTTGGCTTCGGACCTGAGTTGGCTGAGCTTGCTTTGCTGGCATGCCCATGCATAAACATATTTTTGTTTATAAGTAGCATATTTGCATACATATACACACAGAACATATGTACATATTATAGTATATGATTATTCTTCATATCATATGATATGAATATTTTAAGGTATTATATACAGAGAGAGAGAGGAGCTGTAACAGCCAAGATGCAATCATGTCCATAGCTTCCAATCCACACAAACACCTTGATTGCACATGCAGTGCATGCTGGAACTCAAGGGAAGACTTGGATGGGGTAGATCACAACCAAACTTGCAAGTATGGATAAATTGGAAGTTGTTTGGGTTCTCATCGGGAAATATTTTGCCAAGGCACACGGTAGACTTTGGTTTGTTTGCAAAGCCACTGGAACGCTGTGTGCTTCTCCAGCAAGCTTGAACTTGGCTGCTCTATGCACCAACATAGCCCGAGGATGCTCATGATGTAAAGGTAGATTACTGTTCGTGCCACCATGCAGTTCCTTGGATCGAAGCTGGTTGTGATTGTGGCATCATGTATGTGGAAGTGTGTAACTCATGTTCACGAAACTGTTCATGTTTCTTTTTCCCCCCAAGCTCGCACAAGCCAAATCCAGCTTGATGAATGCCTTGGTGAAATTCCAAGGTCCCGCTTTCCATGAAACTAAGCGAAGATACTACTGCCGAATGGCTTCAAAATGAATGCACTGTTGCTGGTAGGAGCTTCCATCACATACCTTCATACAAACATTTGATACAGTAGATAGGTATGAGTACCAACTTGAAAACAAATATAATTAGATGTGATGTAGGGATTCTTGTAGGGATTCCTGTCTATGGTGCTAGTTCAGAAACATTGCCCACTCCAGCATGGTGCATGTTCAGGTGCCTTTTCCACACCGTTTTCCCCGGGATCACATACCTACACCCACAGTGACAAGCCCATAGCACGTGCAGCTTCCTCCCAGGCTGCCTTCATATCATCTTTCCATGCGATCCTTAGATGTGAAAACAGCTTCACAAATAGGTTTGGTAATGTTTGATATGGTTTGAATGGGATTCAATGCAAGTGGGTTTTCATCTTAAAAACCTTTGGTCAAGACACGCTTTTGAGTTGATAGCAGCTCCACCCTTCATGGCCTTGGGTTTGAATGCCTTGTGGCGAAGCAAGACTTCCATGCGGGCCCCACCATCCAAATGCCTCGGTTTGCAGGAGGAAGCTTCCCCAGAATTGCAGCCCAGGTCTCATTCATGAGACCTGGGTTGCAATTCTGGGGAAGCTGGGACAACATGCTGCATGTGCATCAACTTCGACCTTCACAAGGCGAGATTGCAGCCGGGTTGCAGGGTATAGGAGTGCTTCCCATGCTTGATGCCCTGGGGAAACAACTCAGCCGGAAGGGCTTGAAGAGACTCCCGATACTCCTCTTCAAAGGTCTCCATGATTGTAGGGATATCTGGAACCGGCTCAGCTTCTTTGGATCCTGTGCCGCATTTGGGGACATGATCTTTTGGGAAGATATGTGCAACCAGCATTACCATCAATGTGCAGCAAATGATTATAGTGAACTTGTCAACAATGCATAGCAGGGTCCTGGCTTCGCCTTCTTTTTTCCATTGCTCTTGCCCGACCCTTCAGATTTACGCTTCTTCTTCTTTCGATCACCTAGACAGACGATTTTCCGAAAGATATTTGGAGTGATTGTGATTCTAAAGGAGTCTAACCAAAACATGATGGCATCCAGAATTTTGTGTGTGGAGACCCTGCATGTTGTTTCTGTCACGTGTGATTCAACCATGAACCATGAATGCTCCGCTTGCCATGGAGGTGCTTGCCTCCATCTGCAACTGGTGGCACGGCCGGTGGAGGACTGTCTTCCACGGCAACAGCTGCTTCGGGGTAGCCAGGTGGCACACTGGGCTCCAACTGGCCATGTAAGTCACGATGATCTTCAAAGTCAGACTCCTCTTCGATGTTGTCAGCCAAGAGGTTTTCAGCCTCAAGGTACACAAGGATTTTTAAAGAATATGTGAGGTTGAGTTCGGCCATCTCCAACAGGTTTTTTATATGTCATGTGCGTGTGGTTACATCATGCTTTATTTTGGCTGCACTTATCCAGTTAAGGGACAAGCACTGGATCATCATCGGGGCTGGACGACTCAGAGCATTCCTCTTCGCATTCCCAATTTTCATTCTTCAATGTAAGAAGGTCCGGTTGGACAGGGGACACAGCAGGTTCTTCGTCCGGTTCTTCAGCCACCCCCATAAGTGTCGTGGGTTGCCCAAGTCTCTCCATGAGGTCTCTTTCCATGTTGGGGTCTGCCCCTCGAATCCCAGGGGTAGCCCAAGGTGAACCCAATGGCAAGGTGTCATCTGTAAGACTTGAGCCACCAGATACATTTCCATACATCCGAGCATAGATATTGTCTGCCTTTCTCGGTGGAGTTTTCATCTCTTCAGGGCTAGGAGGGGATGGCTTTGGCAAAGACGTAGGTGACACTAGACTTTGAACCTCAGAAGATTCAGTCTCATGGTCCAGTAGCAAACTTCGTTGGCTGGTGTTTGCAAAAGGTTTGGTCGAATCAGCCTGGGAGTCTTCCTGGGAATCCTCTTTCTGGGTCTCCTTTCCAGGGAAACAGCATGGTGAAAAGTGAAAAGTAATGAAATTGTATGATGATGGCCCTTACTTTTGTTGGTGGCTTTGGTATTCTTTGGTACTCCCTCTTGATCACCCAGTTTTATCCCCTTCTATGAAACCCCAAACAGTTTGCACCGTTTGCAGGACACTGGTGTCCTCAGTCTGGCGTGGGCCAGAGCCGGGCTTCCTTTTCATGTCATTCTTCAAGGCTTGGACGACATCGGAAGAGCTGGTGTTGGGGCTGTTTCTCCACAAAGCACGTAGCCCCGACCACAATTTCCTCATAGTGAAGGCAAGTGCAGCAATTTCGGTGTCCAGGTCCTTGGGACATTTTCACATTCATATTGAATACAGACATGAAAGCGAGTTGATTAATGTGGATTGCTTTTCATGGGATTGCTCTTGTGGCATGGCGTTGTATACCCTTTGACATAGTTGCAACATATTGCATCCTAGTGGCTGTCAGCTCCGAAGGGCGAATGCAAAGGTTCTGACAAGGCAAAGCAACCAGGCACAATAAAGTTTTTTGAGATAATAGTCGCATGGACCACAATCGCACTGGTGCACCAGATACAACTGAAATAATTCAGTGGCTAAGGAAATTGTTTTTGGACATGGCTCATGTTCCGGCCTTCGATTTTGCGCTCAAGCTTTCCAAAATCAGGTAGCATTCCTGCTTCCCAGGGGCTCTGTATTTGAAGGGCTCATATTCGAGAAGCTGCTTCAAGACCCAACCATTGTTCTTCCTGAGATAGGAGTGACACACCATGACATACCATACCGCCAATGGCGAGAGAGTGTAATTGCATGTGAACAGTTTCAACATGTTTCAACCGACTGATGCAGGTAGACAAGATTCAGATCATCTTCCTGAGCAATCGTGAGCCGGTCCGTTCGCATCAGGCGCTTGGTCTGAAGCTCTCCCAAAGGCACTTCAAGAGCCTCCTGACACCAAGATTGTTTCTGCAAAAGCTTAATTGGGAATATGTGGTAAATATGGGTGCCTCTAGGTGTTACACAATTAGATCTTGGCCTTATATATTATTATATATTCACTGGACGATCATGGAAAGAAAGATAGACCAAGTTTTTGGCTGATGGATAGTCAACACTGTTGCAAAGGTTTGGATGGCGAAAAAACAACACATTGAACCCCTTAATGCAGTCCTTTAGGTCACGTGGCATTGCCTCGTAAAGGTTCTCTCCAAGATTTTGCAATTCCAGAACGCAATGTTCTTCATCAGCAAGTAGGGACTGAATCTCTTCAGCACACATCGGAGCACCCATGGCACCCAGTTGAATCCCCGTGCAGTGCAGCACCCGAGGACTTTTGATATGATCACACTGCAAACAATCTGTTGGCAAGACATTGATATGTTGATCTTTGCAAGTCTAAATAAAGTTGAAACCGGACTTGACTTCTTTCGTTTGATATGTTTTGCTGGTTCAGCCAAGCATCGCTAAAGATACCTGCTTCACCCATGGAAATCCCATCGGAGAATGAGCCGAGCGGCCTGATGTAGACCTGCGTCCAGCGGTGGAATCTTTCCGGATAAACATGGCTAAAACACAGGCAAATGGGACCAAACGTGATTGGATGTGTTCCTCATTTTGAATCACCACACTGGGATAGATGCTGTTGCTTTGAACTCAGCCCAGCCTGTTGAGCCATATCCATGTACTGCACACCGGAGCTTCGAAATTGAATCCAAACTTAGTCGGTTGGAACCCAACAGAATGTAAAACACATCTAAACCATTTAAGATGCACTGCCACCTCATGTAGACTGACTTAGTTCAGTATATCGGTTTAACAGCTTTTTGATTCTTGTTTGCTGTGAAAAAAATACCATGTGTACAAACAATGTGGTTTCCAACTAAGAGTGCCGGCAAGCAGCGCTCCGGAAAAGCCGGATGGTTAGAGCAAGGCCATATGCAAATCCAACTCCACTTAAGATGTTCTGGTAGACCATGTCGTCGTTGTACTCAAAGCTGGCAGCTGCGAATCCATACTTCCTCAGTTCAAATCACTATGAAATACTTTGCAATTCATAGACTAACATGGACACGTTTTGATGCAAAGGTCACAAGGTTTTTCCCTTCATTGACCATTCCGTGTCTAACTCATGTGGACTGTTTGATGTTACACTGAAAAGCCACTGAGATTCCGAAATGCACTTGCAATGGTCTTGACACCAGCGTACTTTTCGACGCACATCAATGCCTGGGCTCGGCCAGGGATGCATTCACTTTTGTGCCCAGGGTAACTCACAGAAGATGTTGAAAACAAGAATAAGAATCACAATTAACCGGTTTGAGATTGTAACCTGGTTTTGATTCCCATGGTTCCCATTCAACACCATCAAAACTCAAAACCAATACATTCTATCCATCTTTTCACCTCAAACTTAGAAGGTTCAATCCAAGATGCCATCTCTGGCCGGGTCATGTGAGACATGACATTCTGGACCAAGCTCAAAATGGAGCACGGAGCGCCGCCAAGCATGAGAAGATTGAGCCTGGGATCAATGTGGTCACGGTTGGTTTGCATATACCCCTTTTGTTTTAGATGTGGGGAAGCACTGGGTACAAACCCTTATAACATCTTATAACCATGAAGAGTCAAACATTTTGTCAAAGAGTTAGTCAGGGTTCCTGTGCGAATATGTTTGTATATGTTTGTTCAATCCAAAATAGATGAAATAATTCAATAAAACGTCGGGAAAGCAGTCAAACCGAACCATTTGAAAGGTTTGAAATGGAACATGGATATGGCGAGATGTTGAATCCCTGTTTTTTGTCCACCACAATATTGATAAATCTAATAGGGTGTTATATCCCGTTTACATGCAACACAACCTTTTGCTAAATAAGCCAAACTACACCAAAAGTAGCGAAGGGTGCAACCCAGATGAAGGATTGAAGGGCACCTTGCTCTCAACACGTCTGTTGCTTCTCTTTTTGGAACACAAGTGCTTCTTCTTGAAGGTCCCATAAACCCTCTTCTTTTTCTCGGCACCCTTCCCACGTTTTGCTTTCAAAACCTCTGGTCCCGCCATGGCTGAAGCACCAAACGAAGGCAGCGTTGGTGGATGAACTATAGATACATGTTAGAAGATAGAAAAACATAAACTTTTACACACAATATATATATATATATATTGTATTTATATATATATATATATTCTATATATATATATATATAGTATATAGATATATATATTGTATATATATATATTGTATATATATATATATATTGTATATATATATATATATTTATGATATATGTGTGTTTGTTTGAATGAAAAAGGAATTGCCAAATAAACTGCTCAAACAATGCTGGAAGTGAAACTGCTGGAAGTCGTTTCAATGCCTTCTGCCGCCAAGAAGGGTGATTGTGAAAACACCTGCAGTCAAACACTGTCCAAAAACAAGCTCTCCCTTCCATGGATTGCTTGGCCCTCCCAGCCCTCCCCAGCAGTATACTGCAACTGTTTGCCCAAGCAAAGGGTTGGGCGCACCTTCGTGACAGCAAAGCGCTGGCAACATCTGCCATATGGAGACAGCGACATGGGGGTCAAAATGCCTGCTGCCATATATCACATCCACTTAGACTGACTTGTAAAAATGAAAAGAAGGGCTGTCCTTTTGTCAATGCCGATGCAGCTTTCTGAAACCCATGCTGCACCCATGGCCATGCATGGAGCCTGACTGCACGGCGAGAGCCGCCCAAGGTTCCAGTTGATTAACGCCATGTCATCTTAAACAAAACATAAAACAAAACACCCTCGGATGAACATGAAAAACAAAAATGTCAGAGGGATGATATGTATCCATACATATCTCTACTAAACATATAAATATACACATCTATATTTATTTATTTATTCTTGGTTCAAAAGAGAGACCACGAACCTGAATGCACTTGCTCCGAGCAGGAGCTGTACTGAGATCCACCAACCCGAATGCACTTCCCATCCCACCATGCCCCAAACTGAAAAAAAGAAAGACAAAAGGGAGGGAGGGAATGCAAGGGCCGCTCCAAAGGAGCGACCCCTTCAAGACGCAGCCCCTCGTAGTCCTTCCAGTAGTAGGGGCCATGCATGGGTGCCCCCCCTTATGGGGGGGCACCCTTTGACAGAGCGAGGCAGGAAAAAAAAAAGACCTATATATAGGCACGCCTGTGGTGCGCTGGAGTCGTTGGTGGCCCCCTGACTTTGCAGGGGGCCATGCCGCATGCACCATGAATTTGGCAAGGAAAGCAGCTAAAAAAAGAGCACAGACACCACCAAATGCTTTGCACATATGCTAAGACAGCAGCATGCGCAAGCATGCACCTTATATGATGTCTTTCATGGACATACAACAACTTTGACATTGTCGTGAGAGCTGAAGTTGTCGTGAGGCACTAATGCATGGACTTATAACAACTTTGCCTTTCAACCATGTGAAATGGACAACTTTGGGAGGTCTAGGTTCTTGCGGTTTCTTGCGGAGTCGTCTGGAGTCGCAAAGTTGGAACTCTTTCAACCCTTTCCACATTGTAAATGGGGTTTCAGCAGGTGTACCGACTCCGCCCGACTCCGGCAAGACTCCGCAGCTAAAGACATCAAAACTGGCACAAAACTGTGGTAAAACGGAAGTTCTGCATCTCCAGCCTTCTTACGGAATCTGCTGGAGTCATGAAATCGAAACTCTTCCCCCAATGCAAACAAAGGATTCATCCGGTTTTAAATATATACTATTATTCTTTAACCGGATGATACTGAACTCCGGGCGACATACACAACCCGACCCGCAAAGTTGCCGCGTTAGGAGTCTATAAGGGGCGAAGGGGGGGGAGCCCAAAAACAAACAACGCATCAAGAGACCAAAACAAAACTGAGCAGTGCAAACGCAAACACAGAAAAAGCATCCCGCCAGCAATGTCGCAGCGGAATCAGCACCTCACCCACGCCATGTTGCGAAAGCCTGCGACAACAACACCCAAACAATTCCAAACAACATGATGCTTTGGCAAAGACTGGCGACATGCAGGCGGGGCTAGAGACCTTCAATCAGCAACCGTGTTCCCCGGAATCCTGCCATTCCGTTACACTTGCAAAAGTATTGCTTTTTGGTAAAGCTGCGCCATTTTTCGCGAAAAAGGTCACTGCAGCAATCTCATTTTCGAGGCCGTAAACCCATTGGCTTTTTGGACTCCAAAAAGTGGTCCTCCCCAGTTGCGTTGAAGCTTGCTGCTTGAACAAAACCCAACTTTCATTTATTTAATTTATTTGCGTAATGTAAGAGCTTCGTGTTTCGAGCAGGTCGCAAGGTTCCACACTGCCAAAAATGGGATTGCCACGCGCTACCGCTTTTCGCTTTGGACAGGGCCATTTCGAGGCTGTTTTCAATTTCTATTTTAATAGCAGGCGAGACCAAAAACGGGCGCGCCAAATCCACGCGTTGGAGCGTGTGGCAATCCTGTTTTTGGGGTTGCGACATGACGCTCGGAACGCACCCAGCTGCTTCAAAAGTTCGCCAGAAAACATGAAACCACAAAAGGCAGGAAGGATGACACAAACATCCACGTGCTGAACTGGGGAGGACCGCCTTTGGGAGTCCAAATTCTATATACCTTTCCAACCCCAAAAATGGGCATGAAACAAATCGAACAGTTCAGTGACATCATCTTGCACTTCTTGCGGTTTCTTGCGGAGTCGTCTGGAGTCGCAAAGTTGGAACTCTTTCAACCCTTTCCCCATTGTAAATGGGGTTTCAGCAGGTGTACCGACTCCGCCCGACTCCGGCAAGACTCCGCAGCTAAAGACATCAAAACTGGCACAAAACTGTGGTAAAATCGAAGTTTTGCATCTCCAGCCTTCTTACGGAATCTGCTGGAGTCATGAAATCGAAACTCTTCCCCCAATGCAAACAAAGGATTCATCCGGTTTTAAATATATACTATTATTCTTTAACCGGATGATACTGAACTCCGGGCGACATACACAACCCGACCCGCAAAGTTGCCGCGTTAGGAGTCTATAAGGGGCGAAGGGGGGGGAGCCCAAAAACAAACAACGCATCAAGAGACCAAAACAAAACTGAGCAGTGCAAACGCAAACACAGAAAAAGCATCCCGCCAGCAATGTCGCAGCGGAATCAGCACCTCACCCACGCCATGCTGCGAAAGCCTGCGACAACAACACCCAAACAATTCCAAACAACATGGTGCTTTGGCAAAGACTGGCGACATGCAGGCGGGGCTAGAGACCTTCAATCAGCAAACCGTGTTCCCCGGAATCC